GATCATATTTTCATCATGCAGCCACTGTCTACTAGCTTAGTCTGAAGACACTACGCTAATATGCATATTGTATTACTAACAGTAAGAACAATGGAATTTAAATTCTCATAGACTTCATGCTAAATAACTATAAAAGGAGTGTTTAAGTACTATAAAAGTCTTTATGCTGCATGAAAATGTTTAAATTGTATCCTCTACTGCACTATCTTGATTATTGTCATGTTACAAAATATTAAGGTCTTCTTAGATTAAGATGGGACTTCTTTAGAATGACAGACTCTTACTTTAAACTGAGCCAGTCATGTTTTTTTTTCCTTAAAAATAAACCCCAATGATTGGACTGTCCAGTGAGAACAGATTATTTTAAAATATACATTTAATTCTTTTCAGGCAGGTCTAGAACTACCTGCCTTGGAAAAACACCACTTTACAGCGAAAAAGGAATCAAGACAAACAAAAATTTCCTGGAATTCGATGAGAACCTACCTTGGACAGAACTAAGACATGAATTTTTTGTTTGGATACACTGTCCTGAAAAGCTGTGTGAAGTTAACACCTTACAGATATGGTTTCTTTCAGTGGTGAAAAACATGATTTATATGGCTTGCACAAAAGAGAATGAATCTCATTTATCACTATGGAATAGAGTTTACACATATTTTACTCTATTTCTGGTAATGAGCTAAAGTATTTTGATTTCATTAGGACTAAGTAAATTAGTCTAGTTCACACTGATAAAACAAGTAATGAAACCTGGAAAGGCACATACCAGAGTTAAAGAGCATGAATTAGAATGTTTATGCTTCTACATTTGAAAAAGCAAAGATATGCTTGCACTCACTGACAATACGTATCACATACAATAACAATATTGTTGTTATTATGTAACAAAATTGTATCATAAAAGTCAGTCATTAAAATAACCAGCTAACAATTCAATCTCAAAATGATAAAGCATTACTATTAATTAAAACACACTTCTACTTCCACTCACGCTAGGCAGAGCAGTCCGAGTATCCTATTACAGAAGTTGGTCTTTATTAATTGTATCTTAATGAAGATTCCTAAGACAAATTCAATATTGAAATTCAAATAGACTACAATCAAATGGTACATAGTCTTAAATTAGCCTGATGAATTCAAGAGTAAGCTGCCTGTAGCAACAGGTAATGTTTCCAAGTTATTAGCAAAACCAAATGCCTCCTCTCTACAATAAGCCAACATACTTTTGTAAAAATACTACCACAAGAATAGCCAAGATGACACTTAAATAAAATGGAATAACATTTCTGTCTTATCACTCTGACTACAAGTATATTAACTGCATCAGAAAATGAAAAGTGAGATTTGTTTTCTGTTGATAACCACCTCCTCATTACCAGAAAGTTCTGGGACATTGCTTATACCCCAAAGAAGGTAGTTTCCTTAAAACTTGCAAGCAGTAGTTTGTTGTGCTTTGGGTAATACCACCACTCATCAGCCCTGCGGGAAACAGTGGACGTCTGATGCAGACGTGTAAAACAAACTAGAAATTATCAGAATTCTTTGCTGAGGATGAGCCCAGAGCAGGCATTGGCAGGGAGAGTGAGAGACACTTGGGCTTATTTACAACCCAGAAAAACCTCTTGTCAAAATAGATATTGAGCTTAGTAGGAACTGAAGGGCTTACACAGGGCAAGCTACAGCTTCAAGACAGCAATACAACAGCATCTGTGACTTTAAGCTTTAGCCATCTAAGCCAGAGTTTTCTTTTCCAATTCATACATCAGGGAACATACAGAGAAGTAAGTTCTGTAAGGCTGGTAAAGGAATATCCAAAGAAGGATCTATTTCTGCAACAAATGACTAAATGCTTAGAAATTAATTTTGCCAATAAAAAGAATTTTTAGATTGGTAATCTAAAGTGGAATAATAGATAATTTCATTTCCTCCTTTTTCTCCAGATCTGCAGGTTCCCTGCAGATTTCCTGCTCTTCTAGTCCTTGGAAAGCAAAATCTAACAAAAGTATACTACTGAATTAGATACTTCAGATGCATAGATGAGACATCAGATAGATTTGGTTTAGATTAGATATGTAATAGCTAATAGCATATAGAGTGCTAACTGGTATTACCTAAAATCAAGGTTGGAGAAGATAAACCACATGAGCCATGCAATGCTATGACTCCTGAGAACCAAGTTTAGAATATTTTTCAGTTAAATTAGACACAAAATGTGGAAAGATTAGAGTTTAACTTGTCTTATGCAGGCAATGTTTATCTCTATTTGACTATCACTAGCAAAAGACTGGAATTGGCTGCAGCCAGTGCCCCAAATAAAATAATCACTTTTGAAAGATTAAAGAAGCCATTAATGTGGATTGACTTTGCCCCAGCAGAACAGAGCAATGCAATCTGTTCAGTGCTGGTGATCTGGCAGGGACAAATAAAATTAGTCTGACACCCAAGTAGAAAGACAGGGACTTGCAGCTGCTGAGTGCAGTGTCCAAACTCATAAAGACTTTTGAAGCGACAACAGTTCCAGAGGAAACATTCTACATGTAACACTTGGATACAACTTCTTCTCCATGATCGAACTGGATACTTATAAAATTCTCAGCAAGAATCCCAAAAGTTTTATTAATGTCATTCTTAATCCTCAACAGCTTAAATAAAAAACAGTTCCCACAGAGAAGGGTGAAGTTCTGACAAAAATTGTGCATCAGCTATAAAGAGAAGTGATGAGTTCAGCACTAGCTCAGAAGCCTTAAGATAGTTTGGTACATCAAGTCCCACTTCTCAAAGGGAGAGACCGACAAAGAATCTATATTCAAGAAGAGACCTTTGCTAATCAGAGACAAAAAAACCCAGGATCTGGACACAGTTCTGTCTTGAAAGTAGGAAAGAAAGATTTGTGAATTCTAACTTTGCTTCTTTGCTTGACTTTCATCCACACACAATCCAATCTGTCCACAGGTATTTGGTATGAAGGCTTGCTTGTAAGGAAATATTTTTGTCATCTCTTTTCCTAGACTGTATGGAAAATCTTATTACTCAGAATCTGTGTGGACAGAAAGAACACTTTTCAGTATGGAACTATTACCCAGGTCTATATTTATCTTCTTACTCCATCCTGTTAAAGTATTGAAGAAAATTATTTTCTTTTGAAACTCTATCAGATAATATCCAGAAAATTACAAATCAACAAGGAAAGAAAACAGAAGAACTGACAAAAATAATCTTAGGTCCTCAGATCAATACTGTATGTTCAACAACGGTCAGATGCAGAAATCCATCTCTTTCTGAATGACTGTCTGTGGACTTCATAAAACAGCGTAGCAGAAAAGCAAGACCGTATATGCCAAAGCACAAGAGAGCACAACACTAACAGCAGAAGGCAGAAGGCAAAACCATTCTATTCAGCTGTTTTACTTAGGACAGAAAAAGGAAAGTAGTATTGGTAAAAACCTTTTTCATCTCTTTGAGAGACATTTCACAGTTGAGATCACTTCAATCATTTGCATTGGCTGCTGTTCTTGGAGAAACAGGTTAGCTCACAAGCACCTTTTTATTTTTTTTGTAATTTGTACTTCTTGCTAGCACCTAGCACTCTCTTATTTCATAACCCCATATTATAAGACAATGTTCTTTTGTGCCATTGTTCTTCTGCCATCCAAACAGAGCGCTCTGACCTTTTTAAACACAAATGTATTTATCATTTCTTTGCAATAAATTTGAACAAATCAATGTTTCCCTCATTTCAAATGAGTTATAAAAGGGCTTATAAGGAAATAAAAAGAAAAATACATGTCTTTCCAGCACTGTTCTGTGACAGAGAAGCATACGTGCAGTAGTACAGTTCATTTTTTGATTACTTAAATATTTTTCCTTTACCCTAGACACACTACTGAAATTATTTCATAATTGAGATATTATAAATATTTCAAAATAATGAAGTACTAAGGAATCATCTTCTGTTCAAAAAAGGTTAGAGCTTCTAAAGTCAGAAATAAGCACAGAAGCCTTCTATATCTATATGAGGATATTATAACACGTTGTTCGTTTTAGCAAAAAAGTAGAGAGATTTAAAATCTGAACACATGGCCTCGAGAACATGGTTCCCCTCAACGGTATGCACAGCCAAAGGTGCTAGAAGAATATTCTGACCAAAACCCCTTGTAGGTCAAATTAAGTAAATGCAAAAACACAGAATTTTCATTCAGTTCTCTTGTGCATAAGCACTACAATACAGTCTTCAATTATATACTCAATCTGGTATTTTCATTCAAGATCTCTGCCTTTAAACATTTTGCAGAACTGATAGGGCTCACTTAATCAGTAGTTTTTTCAAATGTTCAGTTGAACACAACCATGCAAGCATCACCCCAGGAATTTTACTTACTGTAACCTTTGAATCTCTTGAAGGGAGGTTCAGGATTTTTTTTCTTTCCTTCCATGCTCATCTGTACAGTACATACATGTCTCACAAAATATTAATGAGCTTAGTTAAGAATGTGCCTAAAAGGTGTGCAATTACTATACTATTTTAAAAGTGGAGACAAAAAAACAGATTAGTTTTTAAAGCATTATTAATTTTGAGTCCCTGTACTTCATTACAATTTTAGAGGGTATTTAGCAACTCAAAATTAAAAATCTACTTCCCATGTACTTAATTTTCACCATAATGTTCAAGACAGACCCTGTAGTGTCAAAGCAATAATATATACTACAGTGTCTCATACTTTTCTTGTGTACACAGTAGAAAGTAATTATTTTCAGCTCCCTTTAGTTTGCTGCTTTAATTTACTGAGGGCCCCTTCAAGTAGTTCTATGGACCTACTGTGGCAGGGGACGAAAAAGCAGTAGGGAAGAACTCAATCCAGCACTGCTGTCAAGGAAGTGTTACACATAACATACTTCCAGAGAAGGAGAAACATCTGTGTAAAAAGTTTGTTTTAAGCAATGTATTTAGCATCACTGAGAAATCCTGTAGCAGAAGCAGGGACAAAAATCAAACTCACCATGGTAGGTTCTACTTGCAAAGATCTCCTTTCTCTCCCGCATGCCCTATCTCATTTTGGTGAAGCAAATGAGGCAGCCATCCACACCAGTAAATCCATTTTCTCCCTAGAAAAAGGACAGAGAAGTCAGCAAGTAAATGGCAGTTTACAGGAACTGATAATCAGCTAACCACCACTTATTTAGCAAATGTATTGTTCAGTTCACTGTCCTTACCAGGATTATCACTATGGGGATCTTCCATTTCAGTCTCACAATGGGTTGCACCATGTTATTATAGAATGAACTATTAAGAACTGTAACAGCAAAGAACTAAGTCCAAAACAGAGCTTCTGCAGTGACAGATCAACTGCTGCAGCAGTTTAACATGGCAATGATACAGATGGTTTTAGGAACTTTTTTAGCATCCCAGCTTCAGGAAGCACAGATAAAGATTCATTCAGTGAGTAACACTGCATCATCCATCAGCTGTTGCCACAGGCAATGGGCATGCTCTTACCTTATTAATAATTTTAGTTGGTTTCTTTGGTTGGCTACACTTAATTTTTGTCAACCAGAAAACAAATTAAATTCTTGTTTTTTTGCAAGGCCCTTATACTCCTCAGCATTTCAAAACAACTAAATGACAGATGCTAATTTGAGGGCTGAAGAGGATGTTTATAGCTACTTACAGGAATGAGGTAGGTAGGCCCCTGTTTGTTTCTAATGTTTACCTATTTAGGAAGGCAGGAGTCCAGCTGATTTTACTTCTGATTTTGAAGCTCTGCAGTATCATCTGCCTGTGAGAATAGAGAGAAGATCAGAATGTTTACTCTTTTACTCAAAAAGTTGCACTGTGAAGTACTGTTCTGCATCCCTTTATCATTCCCACTACATACCCTACCCTGGAATCTTAATTGGCAGCACCATTATGGAGAAAGAATTTCTTCCAGCTTTGACCATTCCCAAGATTGTTATAAGCACTTCAGTATCTCACTGTTGAGATCACAATAGCTTTTCCATCAAGAAATTCAGCCAGAGCCCAATCCAATTCAGATTAAACAAAAGAAGCATTCATTATCAAAGCAGAGAAACAGAAAGGAAGCTTTCTGGAGGGAAACATTATCTGACCACTGGCACTTTTAGAATCCTTATGTCTGGTAATAACCTAGACATAAGGATTCTAAAAGGTAATCTGATAAACCAAAATGGTATGCCTTAAGATTGAGATTGCTTTGCCACTGCAGAGATATGTACATCAGATGACAGCTTCTTAGAAATGCAGTCCCCATACTGTTTGGTTCAGAGAAACAAAGGAAATACACCTCAAAATCCAGTTTAGAGGTCTGGTTTTCTACAAGTTTGACTGTATATTCCATGTAAATGACAGAAGTGAGTAAATTATGCCAGCTGATCCAGCATATGTAGTCCCTTTCTACTCATGAAACATTTATCTGCAGATTGAGATTTACTGATTCTGTTCAAAAACGGTCATATGATTTTTAAAAAAACCCCCAAAACCCAAACAAACCCTACAACAACACAGCAATACAGACTGATCTAAAAGAATCCTTAATACTAACTAAATTAACCATAAAGTATAGACCTGAGTATTTTAAAGAACTACATAATAATGTTTTGCTTCCTGACTGGATACGTGAGCATATCGTAGTTTCTCTAGATTTTTATCTAGTTTACCTGTTAAGAAAGCAAAAATGATCAGCACATACTCTTTTTTTCAAAGCCTGTTTAGTGATACTTTGTCCAAATACCACTCTTCCTGATCCTGACTGAAGTCTGCTTCTCTATTAGTCTAAGTACCATTAAATCAAGGTCTTAAAACATTGTATCTTGTAAAGTTTTTATGGTTATCATTCTCACACTTCTCACAATTTTTTATTCCTCCCAGTTACAACATATGTCCTGGTTTTGCTACCCAAACCACCACAACATATTACACTTACTTCCCTATATACAATTTCCTTTTTCTTAACAAATTCATATATATATTTATATTTTTATGTAAGAAAATCCATATTTCATTAAATAAATTTGTTTTATAAAAAGATAGGCTAACAATCTCTCAATTCTATTTTCCTTTTCCAGTCTCTCAGCTATATTTTTCCTGGTATATGCTGTCACACAAATTTATTTATTTATTACACACCTCCACTGGTCATTTTTAAAGACATAATATGCTGCCTGCTTTTCAGGTTCAGTTGAATTTTCACCTGGTTAACTCACATCAGACACCTACAATACTAAGTTCTTTTTTCTGTGAAATTCCACTGAAATGGGAAAACAGCTATGGTAACCTGACCAGAGAGAACTAAATATCCTCCATATTCATACACAGAGTATTTGGAACTGGTGGTGGTCACAAAAATAACATATTTAAGGTGTGGAAAATGAACATGCACCTCCAATGCAGTTGGGAACTTACATGCACATTTTGACAAATGTCTACTCAAGTTCATAGGCAAAACTGTACTGACATTTTTGACTAAATATATTACACCTTTGATTCCCAACATTAAAAGAAACAATCCAAAATGTCTAATTAAGATAGCTTTTTAAGAGATTGTGCAGATACTTTTTTCACTCTTCCTGAGGTCTTTATTTCAGACTTCTGGATTGAAACATTACCCAAACTTCACTTCAGTTTTGCCGTAGCGTTTATATTGTTATTTGCAGATTGTACAAGTACATATAATTATGCTAAGATTCTTGTAGCTGAAGAATGGTGCTCAAGATCTTTTAGTTCATCCAATGCCTTTCCACTAGCGACATTTCATTCACAACACACATTACAGACACACACACAAATCATTGAGAACAAGTGGTGCATCAGTAATGCTGTTGGTGGAAACAAAAAGAAACCCCAAGCCTGTTGTGCTGTTCTGATGCCCCCA